GGTCATTTGGTTTCTGCCAAAGGTGTGAGCATTGACCCCGCTCGGACTCAAGGAATTAGAGATTTCCCTAAACCACGAGACGCTAAGGGCATCGCAAGATTTCTTGGAATGGTGGGATTCTACAGAAAATTTATTCCAAATGTTGCAGATTTATCAGTACCTCTGAATTCTTTAAGGAAAAAAGGAGCTAAATTTATTTGGGGCAAGGAGCAGGAATCGTCATTTTGTGCACTTAAGGAAGCTATCATGTCTCCACCAGTGTTAAAGGTACCGGATTTTTCACAACCTTTCATCCTTCAAACTGATGCTTCATCTCAGGCACTCGGTGCCGTACTCCAACAAGAAGTGGATGGCACTAGACAACCAATTGCTTTCGCTTCTAGGACACTAAGCCCTCAAGAGAAGAAGGCGTCTTCGATATATGAATTGGAATGTTTGGCTGTTGTTTTTGCCGTTGATAAATTTCGTAGGTATTTGGAACACTCAGAATTTCTTCTCGAAACGGACAATCAAGCACTTTCTTGGTTACTTGCTCATCCCCGTCAATTAGGAAAGATAGGCAGATGGGTCGTAAAACTGTCCGCACTCAAATTCAAAGTACAGCACATTAGAGGAACGCAAAATGTAGTGGCTGATGCCTTGTCTCGCATGTTTATTCAGGAGAAAGGTGATTCTCAAAATACAACTATTACCTGCAATATGTTACTCTCTGATTTCCCTTTAGCTTTCACTGCACTTCAAAAACATCAACAAGAAGATCCAGAAATTGTGGAAATCCTAAATAGGCTTGAAAATGGAGAAGTTTATCCACCGTATTTATTGTCCAAGGGAGTTGTTTGTTGCCGCCCTCAGAGGGGAAATCGAAGTCCTAAAGTTGTTTTGCCAAGCCATCTCATCCCAATGGTTTTCTCATATTTCCACCAATCACCAGTGGGAGGACATCTTGGAATATTAAAAACTATTTCCAAGATTCGCCAGGAATATATATGGAAGGGTATGGACCGAGATATCGCTAACAGGGTTAGGAACTGCAATCTTTGCTCTCTTAGTAAGCCTGCGCAAAATACCAGACTAGGCCTACTAGCTTCGGAAGTTGCTGAAAGACCCATGGAAAAGATATTTATCGACTATGTTGGACCTTTTCCTCGTAGCAAGACTGGAAATACTACTCTTCTTGTAGCAGTCGATGCATTTACGAAATTTGTGTGGTTATTCCCCATGAGGAAAGCTACAGCCCGACTCACCATAGAAATTCTACAAACTCGTTTGTTTCAACATTTTGGTAATCCTATGAAATTGGTTTCCGACAACGGACCTCAGTTCAGGTCCCATTTATTCAAGAGGATGTGTTTCGGTCAGGGAATACACCATTTTACCACTTCTCCCTATTACCCCCAGCCCTCTCATGCAGAAAGATTTAACAGAAATTTGAAGTCAGCGCTCATTGCGTATCACGCAGAACAGCAAGACACCTGGGATCAGAACCTACGATGGCTACAACTAGCTTTCAACACTGCTCTCCATGAAGGCCATAAGGCGGTACCTTTCGAACTCATGTTTGGATTCAAACCAAATAACCCTTTGTCAAATGTTTGGAAAATCACTGATTTGTTACCCTCCATACCAACCCCGGATGTCAAAAACCTGTGGTCAGCCGCTAGACGGAATTTAAAGCGAGCCCACGAGAGACAGCGGGATCGATATAATCAAGGAAGAAAAGAGAACCCTTTCAAGATTGGACAACTTGTTTTTTGCTTAGCCCATCCCCTTAGTTCAGCAGTGGAGAAACGTGCTGGAAAACTGTGCTATAGGTGGACTGGACCTCTAAGAATTTCTAAATTTTTGTCACCTGTTACTGCTATGCTGGTCGACCCCACTACCGAAGAGAAGTTTAGGAAGGCTCATATTTCACATTTAAAGCCCTACACCGGGGATGCGATGTTTGATTCAGGAAGTGAAAGTAAATAAGAATAGTGTGTCTTAGGACTGATCACCCTCAAGACTACGTTCTCTCTGAAGTTTTCTACATCTCTCTCTATTCTATACAAACATCTATCAGCGCTGATAACCCCAGTTCACCTATTCTGGAAAACATTATGAAACTTCAGTTATCACTTGTTACCTGTTTGAAAATTTTGAGCCTGATGTCTCCTTTGGGGTGGGAGGTTGAGCCGTGTCAGTCGGCTCAGTTTGAGAAAGGAGAGTATTTCTTATAGTACATATTGCGGCAGAAGCTCTGTACGCCGACGCTCGCCAAAGGCCGTGGGCGAGTCCACTTTGTCTTTACTCCCCTTCTTCTCCGATTTGCTTGGAGACGTTCTCTCTCTTTGAAATCGTCCACCAAGATTGACGTTCCAAATTTTACCGGCACTATGGAGACTCAAGAAAGAAGATTTTCCAAGTTCATTTTGTTCGACCTTCATAAAATGCAATTTTAAATTTGTTTTTGACACCAAGCCAGGTATGTCAAATCATTGTATTAGATTAATTGTCCGTTTTTTCATTTTTAAACTTAGCCATTTTTTCCCTCAAACATTTTGTCTGTTCTTGAAAGCGTTCACAAGAGATTTGTCCTTTTTCTCTATATTTGTGTAAAATGATGTTTATAAGGTCTTTTAAAGTTGTTTAAATTGTTTAACTTGTTTTGTCAAATGTTTAAAATTGTAGTTGTCAAAAATTTTGTGCTTAAAGTTAGTTTTTGTCTGGTCACAGACAGGAAAATTTCATGTTGGTGTTCAGGACACACGTGTTCGACTTTGGTAAATTTGTTGTTTTTAATTATTTGTGTTGTTCTGAGTCGTCATTTGTTTGTGTTTACAGGTTTTCCAAACTAAAGTAAAGTGAAAGAGTTAGTTTTTCCTTTTAACAAAATCCACAGGCTAGGCCTAGGCTGGAAATTGTATTAGTATTAGTAACAGAAAACTGAATGAAAATATGTATTGTTTTGTTAAGCCAAGAAAAGCAATAGAGATTATTTGTTTAACCATGACTAACAGAGATTTAAAATTTTACTTAAAGTGTTATGTAAATTTAGCTCTGCCGTAAACTCCCGAAAGACCAAGTCTATATTCCTTGAAAGGGTTAGGTTTGATAATATTCTGAAATACTGATTATTTTCAACTTTTAAGTAGGCCTGTGTAATTTTAAAGGGCTCCTGTACTGGACCGACAGCAGCGGACACATCATGCCTCCTGATCCTGACCTAGTTCGGAGCAAGACGAGGGCTTCGCCCCCGGACTAAACCAGGCCTAACCACAACCAACTCGCAGCGGAAGGACTTCACCCAGAAACATTCTACGAGAACTTTGGCCTTCTTCACCTCTACAAACCAGGTGCTATCTACTCCATGTTATCATTATTATTCCAACGTTTGCATTCAGCCTACCTTCAAGAACAGTTCATTTATATCAAGTTTTTCCCCAATTTAAAGTTTTACCGTTTCAATTTCTTAAACTCTGTAGCCTAGCAAATTTGAGCTTAGTGTTTCCCTAACTAGGCCTACTTCTTATTTCTGGACTAAACTACAGACTAATAATCCCCTTGTGTTTTACTGTTTCAAATTAAATGTTTTTATTTCGCTATCGCTGCGAGTTGAGTTGTGGAACTGGAACTAACAAAAGTCAACAAGAATACATTATTTATATCACGGGTCTACGAGTTTTTTTTTTAAAAGCTACAAGAATTCATGTATTTAGTAGGGTGTCACATTTCCTTGTTATTTCATTATTTTGTGTATGTACCATGTTATGTTAGTAATAGGCTAAAAATTTCTGTTCTAACGGGGAAACTTTCGGCCCAATTGTTCTAAATTTCATTTCGGTTCACGCCAGTACTAAATTCTTCCCCACAATTTTTGCCATTTAAAAAAATTCTATTTCTTACTGTTTAAATTAAAATTCTATTCTGATGTTAGTGTATATTTGTGTATAATTGTCTTATGTTGCTATTTAAATATTTTCATGTCAATGTTGAGTGTAATTTTGAACTGTAAGGTTGTTCGAACGTTTCTCTTTAAACGCAACTTGTTATTGATATTTTGGTCAAATACTATTTTTAAATGATTTCATTGTAAGGTCATTTCAATTCAACGTCTGTTTTATGTAATATTTTCAATTTCTTGCCTTTTAAGATTCATATTTTTAAATTTATCATTGTCCTAAACCTTTTCCGAGTAGGCCTAACCTAACTTAAAGTAAGGATTTTCTTCTAGTTACCAGCTTGGTCCTTAAACTTAAACTTGAACTTCAACTTTTGGTAAAGTTTATATATACATAAATGTTTTAAATGTTTTGGTAAATGATTTAGGCCTAACACTGGTATTGATTTACATTCTAAGCCTTGTACCAATTTGTATATATTATTTCGCTGTTGTTTAAGGGCGCATATTTGTTAATATTTTTAATTGAGTTGGTAATAAAAGATGTTAATCACTTTTCAGTTGTATTTTTTGAACACCTGCAGATCTCTCATGAGCACAGAATCTTGGTAAAAGTTCCACGTACCATTTTGGGGTCTGGGAACTCAGTCATGTTTCAATATATACAAATTTGAACAAATAGTGTTTTTGGCCTCTGGGGACATCAAAATTAAAAAGTAAATCGGTCCCGGGCCTAGGTCTTACCATGAGACATACTCATAAGTGACCTACCATAGCTACTTTCCTATACGGAAATTCGCTATAGCAGAAACAACTTAAAAAATCAGGCGTCAGAGTCTAAAAATTCTGTTTTATTAACTACACAAATTGTTTCTGGTATAGGAAATTGTTCAATATCCTCTCCAGACAGTATTATCTTTGTTTTTGTTTTCACAACTACATTTTATTTGACCATTTTTTTGATATTGGTTAAATCATTTTTCATGATTTTGAAATTTTTTAGTCCAATGGAGAAACTTATGCATAATTCATCCTTTTTTCATGGTCACAAGAATTCATATATAATTCAAGCTTTTCAAGGTTTCCATGGCCGATGGAAGCCCTGAAGTAGTAACACACATACCTTGCACATGATGGTAGCGTTGTTAGCTCCATCGGCCACCAATCTGTCTACAATGCATCCGTCAGTCCCGCAAATTTTAAGGTTGGACTCCTCGGCACAATGTAGCTCAACGTCTACTTGTGATGGGAGCGGCGGCACAAACATCAGTGGGAAGAAACTGACGATTGTCAATGCAAGGAAACCCAAGAACAGGAATTTCTGGCACTTAAACCTGTCAAAACCCTTTGGTGAGTATAGGCCTTAGTTCTGCTTATTCCAACTTTACCTGAACAATATACAATGTAACAATTATTGATTATTTACTGTTTGAATGCGGTACAGTAAACCGCTTTAAAGATTTACGTACTAACCATTACCAAAATTAATTACAACTTAACCTGAAAACTAATATGTATGCTAAGGGTTAAAGTTAAAACAGAATAGGTAGTACCTTCTAAAATAAAACTTATTTACTTCATAGAAGATTTGTTTTGAAAGCTCTCAGTTCTTACATTGATTGATACAAGAGATAACATCAGAGGTATAAACAATCTTTAATACGCATGAGAGGCATTTAAGGGTGCCAATCTTGTTTACAGCAGACACCTACAGTTAGTTGGAAGTCAGTTGCTACATCTAAGAAGTGTATTATAAACCTTAAAAAATATTTTTGTTAACTATAAGTTTATTCAACCAATGAACTAACCTGTCAGCAATGGCACCCATGGTGGGTTTGACGATCATTCCCATAATTGGTAACACTGTGAAGAGGGAACCAACGACCACGGAGGAGAACCCTAGCTGCTTGGCCAGTGTGGGAATGAACGGAACAATAGGTGACGTTCCTGCAACAAGGGCTCTACATCAATACATTTGGATACTGAAGTAAACATCCTCCAGCAGTAGCCAATCTTATATTCAAGTAGAACAGTTGAATAAGCCTCTCACAGATCGTGCTCCTGTCAAAGTTATTTTTTTTAGTGTTTGGCACTATGATAGGCTACCTGATGAAAAAAATGCAATAGTTCACGCAACGTGTGCTTTAAATTTAGCTTGGTTAACACGTTCTGTGTATTCAACAAAGAAATACATAATTGTAATCAGCACAATCTGTCAGTGTTCCAGTTCAACTGCATTTTCATTTTAAAACTTAAATGGGAATTGGATGTCCCCTTCTGTCAATAATCAAATTAGCAGTGTCAAAGTGATAAAAACTATGAATATAGTGATAAAAACTATGAATATGAACATTGTAACAGATTATTTTCCAACTGGGGAGCCTTTTTTAATCCTGTTTATTAGGACCCATCTGAGCACAGATTAAGAAACAATGTGGCGTTGATCCGTTGGTCAGGTGATAGAAAACTTTACCCCTGACGTCACCCTAAGCTAATTACTGTTGCCAATGCCTTGGTGTGCCCCATAAAATAAGTCACTAGTCATTTGAAGGAAATCAATCAATCAATCAATCGTTGAGATGGGGACGCCACCTAGGTGCGTATTTTCATAAGAATAACACGGGGATTTTAAATAAAAAATTGTTTAATTATCTCCATAACCGTTTTACATACAACAATGCTTCAATATTCAAAATCATTTCTTTTTTTATGCTCTACAAAATGGTTTGGAAAGAAATTATAAATTTTTTTTGCAAAAAATTAGAAAAACCAATTTTTACCCCATAAACCCCCGTTCCAATAGTCCGATCATGCTGGTTCATGAACTTGTTCAAATAAACGTAGGTTTACACGTTTGTACCAAATTTCATTGAAATCGGATGATTTTTGCTCGCGTTATCACACTAACGGATACACACGGAGGGTGTTTTTGGCCTCTGGGGACCTCAAAACAAAAAAGTAAATCTGTCCCCGGGGTCTAGGTCTTACCATGAGATCTACGGTAATACCTTATTCTCTATATGGGAAATTCGCTAAAATTTAATTAAATTAATCGATAAGATTATAAGTATACTTTATTTTCAAGTTTTCGGTAAAACTGAAAACTGAAACAACAAATTAAACCCAGCAAACAACTTTTTCAGTTAATTATTACTTGAAGGCGTTGATGAATCAAAAATATATTTAATTGTCTGAGCTTAACTTCCTGTAGATAGTAAGATAGTATCCCTATCATCAATTTAAATTACTGGAATTTTGTTGATTTGGATATCTTTGTTCAGTAATCTTTGGTTCTAAGATTTTGTTTAGGGCCTAAGTCACTTTTAACGACCTGATCAGTTAATGACTTGAAATGAATATAGGCTAAGACCATCTTAAAATCTTACAAGTATAAATAAAGATGCCAAAATAAGACCAAAATGATTTGCATAGTTAAAAACTTCCGTTTGATTAATCATACATTTGTTGGTAAAGACTAAATATCAAATTATTTTCTTCACTGAAATTATTATTTTGTGGGTTTTTAAGTATAAATCAATAAGTAGAAATACAAATAGGTACATTTTTTTGTATTTCCACTCACACCACCAAATTTGAGAAAAACGTAGGCCAATCACAGCCAAAAAATGTCTAAAAATTGTCAATCTACTAATAATTAGCAATTTGAGCCCAGTCGGTTCATTAGTTTTTGAGATTACCTCACAAACACACACACACACAGACACCACCTCTTCTTTATAATAGTACTAGCAGAGTACCCGTCCTTCGTACGGGGTTGGCATATAAGTATCAAATGCTTATAGCAGTTATGAGTGAGGACATGGTTTAAGAAATTTCGGTTCTTTTTCGGTTTTAGGTTGGAGCTCGTTCGCTGCGCTCACTTTCCTTCAGGTTAGCTCGTTCGCTACGCTCACTTGCCTTCAGGTTAGCTCGTTCGCTACGCTCACTCGCCTCCAGGTTGAAGTTCGTTCGCTACGCTCACTCACCTTTTGCTGTTGTCATAAATGTAAAAGAAATAATAGTGCTAGTGCTGCACCCTGTTGGTAATCCTTGTAACTTTAATGCTATTGAACGTCACAGAACAGAACCAACTTGTTTAATTGAAACAGCTGTTAAGATTCAATAATTTCATTTCTCATAAGGTTAACATGGGAAACTCCAGAGCCACTGGGGCGGAGCCCAAAAGGATTTTTGGGATAAAAATATGCCTATATGTTAATCGGGAATGTGAGCTATCATCATGCCAAATTTCAGCCCGATCCGAAACAGTAGACGTTTTACATAACACATCATCCTTCGAGTGATAATTCAAAGATAAATATTCTGTTCCTGACTTTAAAAAGTTAAATACAACAGTTTCGATCTCTTTTGCCCAGTAAAAAATTTAAATACCGGTACCGTACCTACTCAATCTTATTTGCAGCACTTTTTGAGAACACAACAGCATTACTCACATCTTTTTTTAAGATACAACTTCAGATTTTTAGTTTTATGAACGATTTGACTAAGCAAATTAAGTCAGAATCATATGCATTATGATTTGAATACACTAGACGCTGCCCATCACATGGCTTCTTAATAAGCCAGGAATAATTTTATGAAATAATAAACTTCAATCTCAGTAAACTGATAAACGTACATGTATTGGTCTTCAAATAAAATTAAAAAAAAAATAGATATTTTCCTCACACAAATATTATCGAAAATGTTCAGCATCACAAGGAAGAGTCATCAACAAGTTATATTGACTAGGCCTATCTGATTCATACTTTGAAACTACACATCACAGCTACATGACAGATTGTTAGTAATTCCCCTTTTCAACTTAAAAGTCTAGATGTCATTCCAACATTTTACAGAAAGTGAAGTTAGCGTTCCAGAACCTTTATCAGAACTACTTGGTGCAGGTTAATTTAGATATCAAATCATTTACTGTGCCGATTTTAAATCTCAAGGTCCGCGTCAAGGCAACGGACAGGTCAGTCCAACCATGACGTAACGCGGATTGATATGAGAGCGAAGGACCCAAACTGGGCTGTGTGCAAAAGCACTCGGAGTTGCACCACTGTGAACGAAGGTCGCGTTTCCCTTGTGTAGGACAATTTTTATCATTATCTTATTCGTACGGTAGCTCGGAAATTCGCGTTCGGGTGAAAATTGTACGTGCATCAAAATGATCGCAATTCTCAAAATTTCACCGAATTGCAATTGGGGGTGTGTTTTATTAGTTTTAAGTCTAGACAGTTGAAATTGCCAGATAGATTGTTGCGTTCGTGAGGAAATTCGTTCATGAATTAAATCGATCGCAAATGTCAATTTCTGAAAAACCAATTAATTTAAGGGAAATGGTTATCTGTGATATAGGATTAAATGTTATGTTCTATGTAAAGGTCTATTTCTACAATCATCATTATAATTAATTATTGCATTTTGTATTTCATATTTTATAATATTTTTGAACAGTTAGAACACTAAGGAAAAACAAAGCATCGTTCTCGGTTGAAGGCTAGGAAGTTACAAGGGTTACAAGGATAGACTCCTATTAAATTCAGTAAAAATCAATTTTAAATAAACAATCAAATAATCGACTCAGAAGTCCATTGGCCCCATTGCACTGTGCAGAAGTGTATATTTCACAAACCTACAGAATATTCCCTGGTTTCATTAGTCAGCTGGCCAGTTGTTAATAAAAGGAATACCTTGAGGAGTCTGGTAATCCAAAATCCCAAAATATTAACCCATTCACTTATGATTTTTTTTTTACCCGCCTAGGCCAAAACAAACGAATTTGTTGTGGCTAGTTTCATTCATTTCTGATTTAATTTTTTTTCAGGCAACATTTACTATTTATATGCAAGATATTATTATTTTCTTATTCAAAATTAAATGTAGATTCAAAATATATAAATATTTCCCAAAAATATATAACTATAATTTTTTATTATACCATATAAAAATAAAATTAAAAAATTAAAAAATTAAAAAAAACTTTTTTATTGGTAATTTTTAGCTACATAGGGCTCATATATGTTTTGGAACTAGTCTATAATACTGTATGACACTTATAAAAACTCACCAAATGTCAAGCAAAGTTCATTTTGGTGTGGTATGCCTTGAAACACTCTGGCATGTGAAGTGCGACAAGGCAGAGCTCACACTCCCATCGGCTGTCACTGCGCTTTCCCTGGGCACTACACACCTTACATCTTCTTGAAGGTGTTTGTTTGACTTCATTTGGAGGAATAGGCCTAGGAAAATGTCCCCAAGTTGCTGCCTGGAGCCTCAGAGGTGTTTCTGAGTTGGATGATCGTCCTCTTCGATTGTACGGTGGCAGTTGTCGCGACTCAAACATTTGCTTGACAAACCTCTCCTTGAACTCACTAAACCCCAATTTTTTTCTGGTTAATTTTTTGAACACTACATAAGAGTTAAAAAGGCCAATGTCCATTATGTAAAAGAAGATCTTCTTGTATCCCTTAGCATACCTCCTCATACTAGGAAACGACGCTAATTGCTGATCCTCGCGGTCAATTCCACCCATTGAACGATTATAGTAGATCACTGGTTCTGGCTTTGTTATAATTTCTTGGGTAACTCTGTCTTTCTTGCCAGTTGATCTTTTGTCAGCTTTTTGATGAAAGGTAGACAAAATGCAAACTTGCTTCTTGTCCTGCCACCTTACTGCTAACATATCGTGGCTATAGGCTGTCTCGTAGTCGCCCAACTTAAGTTTACCCTCTTTGAAGCTCTCTGGCATGTTTGATCTCCACCAGTTAGCTGTTCCAATTACATTGAAACCTATTTGCTTAAGTCTATAGAAGAGAAGAGGTGAGGAGTACCAATTATCAATTGTCAGAGTATGTCCTTTTCCTGCCAAATCTTTTGTCATTTCAACGACTATCGCCTCACTCGTTAACAGCTTTTCCTCCTGTGTAGAATCCCCACTTCCTTCTTCAACCGGTACATTTTCTTTGACTTCAGCTCCAGTATAGATCTTAAATTTAGAACAATAACCACTTCCAGATTCACAACACTTGTAAAACTTTATGCCAAATCTGGCTCTCTTCTTGGGATTAAATTGGACATAGCCCAACCTCCCTCGGAACTTCATAAGACTCTCATCGACAGCTATGTTTTCATCAGGTATGTACAGATGGGAAAACTTCCTGTTCATGTACTCAATAACGTACCTTAACTTCCACAGTTTATCATTCACAGGTTTCCTATTATTGTCTGTAAGGTGGAAAAATGTGGACAGTAGCAAAAAACGGCGGAATGGCATCACTTTACGAAAAAAAGGGGTCTCAGTTACAGCATTAGGCGACCAGTATGATTGTATGGTTCTTTTTTTTACAAGCGACATAAGGACACACAGTGTATAAAAACAAGCCATCTCATCTGCAGTTGTGTCAAACCATTCTGAGTATATAGTTTTTCCTACCCCGCCTGCTTCGTTCTTTTTCTTAATTGTTTCTTTGGCATAATTATTAGTCTCTATTGCAACATGTTGCCAAAAGTCATTATCAAGAAACGCATTGAAAACATCTAATTCAGAGGGAGCTGAGCCTAAACTTCTAGCCAAACTTGCTCTAACACCAGGACAACCAGTAAAAGGGATTTTATTTATTATATTACTTTCTATGGTACTGGTCCACTGCCAACCCTCCTTTTTCTTCTTTTTTGGTGGAGCTGTATCGTTACTAGTTTGAGTTTTGGACCTTTTAGTAGGCTTAGATGGTTGTGAAATAGCTTTTTTTCCTATAGGCCTACCTCTTCCTCTAGACCTGCCCCTAACAGGTTTACTTTTAGGCCTAGGGTCAGGAAAGCTAGGGTCGTCAGCTTCCTCACTCGGTGTATGTGAGAGGGCAGGCACGATTGAAGATGCATGCTGGTCAAATAATTCAGGCCTAATAGGCAAATCTGAATCAGATTGGACATTTGGAGGGGTCATAGGCCTATGCCTGCCACTATCTATATCATTTATAGGCCTAGAGTCAGGGAAACCAGGGTCGTCAGCTTCCTCACTCGGTGTAGGCGAGAGAGAAGGCGCGCTCATAGTACCGCGGTATAACCGATCAAGAAACTGGACTGATTTAGGCAATTCTTCATCACGTGATGGAGAAGATACATGCTGATCAAATATTTCAGGCCTACTAGACAAATCTGAATTATATTGGACAGTAAGGGCATCTGGAGGGGTCATAGGCCTAGCATAGCTGCAAGAAGGCTGTTCAAGCAACAACTGGTCACTTTCTAATGGCCTAGGCCTAACACAATTAGTATTATGTTCTGGGGAAACTGTGGTCTCATAATCAATAGGCGTATTAGACTTATTACTCACTTGAATTCTGCTCCCTTCCAAATCATCATCATCACTCCAACCACTCTCCTCAAACAAGTCACAATCACTGTCACTGTCACAATCCCCTATAAGTTTTATGATGTCACTTTCATCTAACTCTTTTCCACATTCATCCACGAATACCAAGTTATTTTGAAGACTCATCGTATTATACAAAAGCTTTTCAATTGAATAATATAGTAAAACAAGATACTGTAGCTCAATCTTTATCACGACGAAGTGAAACACGACATGATAGGCCTAATAACTCAGTCATTATAACGACGAAAAAGTAAAATACTGATAAAAACTAACACTAAGTAAATTCTATAACTTATTTTATAAGATAACTACACTTTTCAATAAAATAATAAAGTAAAACAAGGCTCTAACACAATGTTTACATCGTCGAAGTAAACACAACAACGTATCAGCTGTGAAACCAGTGTAGACGTCGTCAGCTGCTAAGTTGCACCATTTCAACTTCAGTTTTTTTTCCGATTGGACTGGACTGAGATGACGAAAATATAACCAAAAGAAAGCCTGGAAATCATAGAACAAGAAGCATATGCGATCTATTGGATTTCTGGGGAACTAACTCGGCACAAACAGGTTTTAATAGCGGACGGCGATTCGCCGTCGCTTCACACAATGGCTAACGGGAGCGCGACGGCGGATCGCCGTCGTTGTAAGCGAAGGGGTTAAATATTGTTCTTTCTCAGTTCCCGAGACATTGCATTGCTTGAAGCGACGATCACAGAGTCAAAAGTTCACAAACAATATTCTCCATTTGATATCACCATTGTATCCTTGTGTGTCAAAAAGTGTAAATGCATCCAATTTTTATTGTATGATATGGCTTACCACATTGGTTAAAATACATTATTGTTACAAAACATTATCTTTTCATTTGCCTGTGTCTAGTTCATATTTTTAACACCAAATTGGTGAAATTTAAGAATAATCGGCTTAACCGAACAAAGTTTTACATAAAACCTTGGTAATCATATTTTTATAAAATATCTTTGAATACAAATAGATTTTTCAACCAGTAGGCTATATTTCAATCTTTATAGTTTGCAATATTTTAACTTTTACAGAATTATCAATTCATATTAAAATCATTCACCAGTTAAATACGTTTCTTTCAAAAAGTATTAAACAAGCATATTTATTAGGCAATAAGAAGTGATAGTATTAAGCTCAACAAGGTGTTTGAAGGAGGACATCTGCCTGATCTCTCACAGTCCCCCAATGGACTTCTGAGGTAACTCAAATTGCACGGGCCCACACTCATAACATCTTTTATTCCACTGTGCGGCTCTGTGTGATTGCATGTCCTCATAAGTCTAATTAAAAATAAATTAAATTCATTCAAACCCCACCAGGGGGCAACTTTTTGTGTTTTCTCACCTTTATGGAATAATAAATTATATTCCATAGAGGTGTGAATAATTTTTATTTGAAGAGATGAAATAAGTAATAAGTAGCCTAAAAGTAATTTTTCTTTTTTTTTTTTTACAAAACAAAGATACCATTATAAATCTGAGACAAGGTATTAGCTTTACGATAAAACTGTGGCAATGTTTTATTACATTTGTGGGTTTGTGAACATACTCATTGTTGAAAGAGGCTTATCAAACCATTGGACAACTAAGTTCCCCAATCGTAGCGGGATGATGGTTTCAATACGTTTCTTCGTAAGAATAACGATATCTGTTCTGCTCAAAGGCAAGCGAGGACCATAATCAGCCATCCAGGCATAGGTTCATTTCAACACTGACTGACAATTACTTGTAATGTACACTTTGAAATATTATTTCTCAAAATTGTCCCTGAAAAATTACAGATCTTTCCCTAAATATACTCAAAAATTCTTTCTCAGAGAATCTCCTGAAAATTCCAACACAGATTCTAAGGCATGGCCGCCATTTTCGGGGAAAATTACAATCATTTTTGAATTCAGGACATTATTTAGCATAAGAATAATAAAAAAATAATATAATTTCAGCGAGACGTGGGTGATCAATATAATTAGGCCTACCCAAAACTTATTTTCTTATTCAGAAATGACCAATGGACGTAGGTTATAGGCCTACAATAAAAATAAAATACTAATTTCAGGTGAGGTCCAGAGGTTGATATAATTATGTACCAGATATGAAGATGTGTGTATTTATAAGTTATCATAGATTTTAAGTTACCTGCATTAAAAAAGAAGTAGTGTGCCTTCATTGGCAACAATTCCATGTTGATTAGTTTCATTTTGCAGCAGATAATGGATGACAAGCTCAAGAAGGATAAGTTGAATTCACGTCATTCCTGCAATACAAGATGTCAGTTTAAGTGATTTTTGCTATAATAAGAGTTAGCCTATAACTAAAGTCTTTTAAATTCATCAATCTTGAATCTTTACTCAGTAATCTACCTTAATACTTTTTAAAAAGGTTTCATAGGCTACAGTACCTTGAACCTATTTTCACAATCTACGTAAATAACATTTTGTAATGACTAAGAACAGGCTACTTAAGGTAAGAAAAGGGTAAATCTTACCCAAAGTACCGGTAAGCCTATGCTTTTAATTAAAATAAAGATTTATCATAGGCTCTATTTTTAAGTTAGTAAATGAATGTTTAGGTAGGCCTAAGTCGATGATTACCTCACTAAAATGCCAACAATCCCAAAAAATTACACAGAGGATACGCGTCCGGTAACCGGGCATGGATTAGGCGTCCGGCAGTGACGTCACCGATTGTGGGGGCCCGGAACGCCATTTTCACAACGATACGATGTACAGCCATCGGTGTTCGTGGTGTAGTGGATAGAGTGCTCGGCTGATATGCAAGAGGTCACTGGTTCGAATCCAATCGGTAATTTTTACTTTTTTTCAAAGATTTTGCTTTGAATGCCATTTCTTCTAACTGTATGTAGGCCTACATCTTTTGATAGAATTTTTGGCATTTATAATTTTATTTTTTAAACAGAATTTAACCTTCATTCAATTTTTTCATTAAGTATCAGCAAGTTTGGTTGGTTAGGTTAGGTTATGGCAGTAACTACCAGACGCCTAATTCACGTCCAGTTACCGGACGGGTGTATCCTCTGTGAAAAAATGTAAGGGTAAGTTACCTACAGTTTCTTAACTGGGCTATGCTTAATATCGATTGAAACTATCGAATTTAACCCTCGGGCCATTCCATGTCAAGTCATCCAGGGGTTGTAACCCACTAGTCACAGATTTTCATGAAAATTTGTACACATAATTTAGACATTTAGATAGGATAAAATCCAAAATTTCAGTTCATTATGTCAAACGGTTTCAGAGATATGGCTATTTGAAGTTTTGAGCGAATTTAGTTTCCGAGGTCCAATTTGACGCTAAGGGAGCGTGCATGTATTCTCGTCTTTCTATGTAGAATGGACAATTTTTAAGCTAGAGGCCTCAAATTTGACTCATATATCCAAAATTTAATGCAGAATCATATAATACAATTGAAATGATAACTATTACCTACTATAACCCAAAAAAAATTCCTAAATACAAATAATTTGATTTTTCCGAAATCGGAACATTGAGTTACAAAAGGTTTCATAACAAAAATCTCTCTCCAGATAAACCTATAAAACTATATATCACTGGAAAGAGCATAAATTTATCTTTCAAATGGTATAATAACATGAGTGGGGTTTTGAGTATTAACATTGTTATCACACGTGAAAGTCAAAAATTAAATTTGATTAAGCTAAACATTTTATTTGATGCCGAATATGTATGATGAACTTAAATAATACAAAAGGTTCATCAATTTAATATATGTTTGTAAAAATGACTAGAAATCTAAAAATATGAAACAAAATATTAGGTCCTTAAGTTGTTATTTTTGCATGAATTAAATTTTTACTTATAAAAAGCCGTAACTAAATCGTCCTATATCCTACATTACTTTTACCTAAATAAAGGCTTATTATATAGCTTTAAAAGCAATTACAATTACATTTTATGCAAAATTTATAAGTTTACGACTCTCAATAACAAATAAAAAATATGTATTATTAATTTTTATAGATTAAACTTCAATATTAAATTATGTGTTGAAAAAATAAAAATAAAATTTTATGACATATTTAATACGGTAGGCCTACACAATCAGTGTTTGTAACCAGAGTTTATACCAGTGAATGTGACCAGTGTCTGTATGTGTTGGTGTGTTGTGTTTAAAATTATCTTTCAAATGTTATAAAAATAAGAGTGGGGTTTGGAGTATTAACATTTTTATTACACGTCAAAGTCAAAAGAAAACAACTTGATTGAAACGTAAAACAAAACCAAATACAGCCTATTTTTGTGGTAAATTTTTTGTAATTTTTTTGTAAACTCTTGGTCAATATCTTCGTCACTATCATGAAATGTAGAATTTTCTTCATTTTTTGAACCAGTGTTTACAACATTCAATTTCTACAATTGCTGCACAAAAGCTTTCCTGGCACTAAAGTTATGTCTTTAAGTACTTTAACTTCTTTTGCCTTCTCTAAAGAAATTGCTCTTAAATCTTTGTCAAGGATACCACACGTTTTTTAAATGGGTCACAGCATGATTTTTTTTTTATTTTAAAAAGTAACAAAAATTATGAGAACAAATTGAATCGTTTTTATTATATTGATTATTTGTGTGCTACCTTATGTTTCTAGTTCTTCATTTGAAAGATTTTCAAAAATAGGCCTAAAATGAACATTATTTTCTTGTGTTAAAGTAAAATTTTCACAAGGAGAGTCTGACAGTTTACATACTGTACAGATCAAATTAGTTCTCACTTGACTTGGTGCAGCAATACTCTCCATGATAAACATTTTTCAACGTTTAACCGGCAATGGGGTGAAGAAGTATATGGGACTGTTCACATATGCACGGCATGTGTTGTGGTCAGTTAAATCACTTGCCCGGCTGCCGTGTATAAGTCGAGGGATGCCGGGTACCCCCTCGGCGAAGGCCGGCTGCCGGTGTCAGGTAAACAAGCCGGCTGGAGTAGTGGGTGTAGCGGCCCAATGTGACTGTTCACATATAACCGGTCACCTGCCGTCTGTCAGGTGCACCGAGTAAACTTTTAGTTCAGTTGTTTGTAGTTATTTTAAGAGTATTACTTTTGGTTAGGCCTATTTGTTCCCAAAGTTTTGGTCATGTCGGAAATAGACATTGAACTACTTGTTAATTTAGTTTAAGAGCAGAATTGAATTAAATTGAATTTTTACTCAATTTTATTATTTTTTTTTTTTTATTACACAACATTGAATTAAATTTTACTCAAATTCAAATTGAATGAAATAGAAAAAAAATAATCCAAATATAAATACAGTTTCAATAAAAGTAATTTTGAAGTATCATTGCAATTGCTCCATTTCTATCCCTACGACACACAAGTTTCACAAGCTGGAGTACAACTGCCAGAGTGCCGGTGTCGGCGTAACGTGAAAGGTGCACCCATGCCAGTGCCGGTTAGAAGTCGGTTTAACGGCATGCCGGATAGATGTGAAACAAGCCTTTCATGTTTAGACTTGAATGTTTCATGTTTCATATCATCACAGGAGTGACAAACACACCAACACACACAGACACTGGTCACATTCACTGGTATAAACTCTGGTTACAAACATTGATTGTGTATTAAATATGTCATAAAATTTTATTTTTATTTTTTTAACATATAATTTAATATTGAAGTTTAACCTATAAAAATTAATAATGCATATTTTTTTATTTGTTATCGAGAGTGGTAAACTTATAAATTTTGCATAAAATGTAATTATAATTGCTTGTAAAGCAATAATTAGCCTTTATTTAGGTAAAAGTAATGTAGGATATAGAACGATTTAGTTAGGGCTTTTTATAAGTAAACATTTAATTCATACAAAAATAACAACTTAAGGACCCAATATTTTGTTTCATATTTTTAGATTTCTAGTCATTTGTACAAACATATATTAAATTGATGAAGCTTTTGTATTATATAAGTTCATCATACATATTCGGCATCAAATAAAATGTTTAGCTTAATCAAATTTAATTTTTGACTTTCACGTGTGATAACAATGTTAATACTCAAAACCCCACTCATGTTATTATACCATTTGAAAGATAATTTTATCCTCTTTCCAGTGATATATAGGTTTATCTGGAGAGAGATTTTTGTTATGAAACCTATTGTAACTCAATGTTCCGATTTCGGAAAAATCTAATTATTTGTATTTAGGAATTTTTTTTGGGTGATAATAGGTAATAGTTATCATTTCACATGTGTAATATGATTCTGCATTAAGTTTTGGATATATAAGTAAAATTTGAAGCCCATATCTTCAAAATTGTCCTTTTTACATAGAAAGACGAGAATATATGCATTTCAGTTTAGCGCAAAAATAAGCCTCGGAAACTGAATTTGTGTGAAACTTAAAATGGCCGTATCTCTGAAGCCCTTGGTAAGAATGAGATAAAATTTTGGATTTCTTCTTATCTATATGTATATATTATCCATGCAAAATTTTATTAAAATCAGAAAACCTTGGGTGACAAGTCTACTTTTGGCTGGATGATTTGGCGTGGAATGACCCCCTCCGAGTATTATTTGTCGCTGCAGCGACACATGTGTAGTGTTTTGTGTTGCTGCATCGACTCACAAACACTGTTTACAGCGAAGGCTCTATGACTGACAAAATCGGATTGAACCGGATCGAGTTAGGTATCGTTTTATTTGACAGATTCAGAGCTTTCTCCGAAGGTCTGTCTCTAAGCGCTTTTCATTTTAGTTCCAAAAATATTGTAGCAGACAGCTGACGTGCGTATTTGTAAACAGCTTGGTTAACCTCGGACCGATGACTGATTACGTTTATCATTGTTTTAGTGTTAAAAATCAAAAGTAGTGATTTACGTGGTGCATTATAAGAAGATTTAAGTGATTTTAAAGGGCTGGTTGATGATCCTGAAGAAGTACCTAGGTAGTAATATTGATGTAAATTATCAGCCAGATTCCTAGCTATGGTTAGGTTATGCATTCTTAGCTAAACGCTATGTACTGAAATCTGTTTTTTGCCCATAACTTATTTAAGTTATTAGCAAATCTACTTCCTTATATTATTATATATTTGTAATCCTCATAAAATTTAGAACAAAGTGGCTATTTTCAAATATTTATAGGCCTGTAATTTATACAATTTCATTGAGCGCAAACTTTTTTTTTTTTTAATTTTCAAAAATACCTATTTTTTTAGGCTACCTTAAAATATTTTTTGGAACAAATGTTCCTTAACTTATGTGTTATGTATAGTGATGGTCGGATCCGGATATCGTACTACCGGATCCAAGCTAGAACCGGCACCGGATCGGATCCAAAAAATTCCGGATCTTGGGCTGGATCCGGTTTTGATGGATCCGATTTTTTCAAATTTTTTACCGATTTTTTTCCTAACACAAAGCTGTCTGTATCACTGTACAAGTGTACAACCCCGATTTTTTTACCAACACAAAGCAGTCTGTATCACTGTACAACCCCGATTATATTTTCTAACACAAAGCTTTCTGTATCACTGTACAACCCCGATTTGTTTACTAACATAAAGCTGTCTGTATCACTGTACAACCCCGATTTTTTTACTAAAATAAAGCTGTCTGTATCACTGTACAACCCCGATTTGTTTACTGAAATAAAGCTGTCTGTATCACTGTAAGAGATCGATTTCCCCCCGATTTGTTTACTAACACAAAGCAGTTTGTATCTCTGTACAACCCCGATTTTTTTACCAACACAAAGCTGTCTGTATCACTGTACAACCCCGATTTTTTTACCAACACAAAGCAGTCTGTATCACTATACAACCCCGATTTCTTTTCTAACACAAAGCTGTCTGTATCCATGTACAAGACCGTTTAATTTTCCCCCAAGTGTTTGTCTCTTGATGCAAACAACTTATATGGCTAGGCCATGACTCAGTGTTTGTCTCTAGATGCAAATAACTTATATGGCTAGGCCATGTCTCGATGTTTGTCTCAGATGCAAATAACTTGTATGGCAAGGCCATGTCTCGATGTTTGTCTCAAATGCAAATAACTTATATGGCTAGGCCATGACTCAGTGTTTGTCTCTAGATGCAAATAACTTATATGGCAAGGCCATGCCTCGATGTTTGTCTCTAGATGCAAATAACTTGTATGGCAAGGCCATGTCTCGATGTTTGTCTCAGATGCAAATAACTTATATGGCTAGGCCATGTCTCGATGTTTGTCTCTAGATGCAAATAACTTATATGGCAAGGCCATGTCTCGATGTTTGTCTCTAGATGCAAATAACTTATATGGCTAGGCCATGTCTCGATGTTTTAGATGCAAATAACTTAACTGGCAAGGCCATGACTCAGTGATTGTCTCTTGATGCAAATAACTTATATGGCAAGGCCATGTCTCAGTGTATAAGATATATTAACCTTCAAACATTACCGATTTAATTTTAAACAGTATGATTTAAATTGGCATTCTGTTAATTACGTTTTTTTTAACCCGCCCTTATGACAGTGTGTATCTGGATCCGGATCCGAAGATCCGGATCCGAATTTTTCAAGATCCGGATCCGGATCCGGTACCGACATTTTCTTGGATCCGCCCATCACTAGTTATGTATAATATTGAAGCCCATGATTTTCCAAGCAAAATGGTATATAGAACAGTATAATTAACATTGTTTTCAAGCTTCTCAGATCCGTTTTAATAAAACCTTGCAATGAGCAAAAAATAGGCAGACATTAAGGCCAAAACAAGGGACACTCGGAGGGTTAAGAAATTGATTAATAATCGATAGCTTATTTTAAAATATATAAATATATAAAACGAAACTGTCATAAGAACCTAACCTAACTAACCAAACTTGCTGATGATGAAACAAATGCTTGAAGGTTTGGGTACACATCCATATCTGTTGGCACAAATAACCGAATGAAAATATTGATCGATATATTGAATTAAACAATCGAATAATCAATATTAAGTTTACTCAGTCGGTTGTTCGTGCCAACAGATATGGAAGTGTACCCAAAGGTTTACTAATTGAATCAATGGTTTCAATCGATAAGTTATTAAGTTAGCATAGCCTAGCCGAGTTAAGAAACTGTACCCCAATTGAAAAACTGTAAGTAACTTAACTGTTGAAAGTAACTTATAGGCCTACCAACGTTTTCCTTCAAAAAGAGTGAGTAAGTCTAGGCCTAGGCTTAATGGAGGATAGCTGATAGACAATAAATGAAAATAGGCTAATCAAAATGTGATATAAAAATAATGCCCAGCCGCAACAGACCGGCAGACTAAGTCAATTTTTATTAAGTTAGGGTTAGGTTTAGTCTGATTATATTTTTAAACAATTCCTTAAACATGTCAGCTTCCCTGTCATTAGGCACTTAAGGTCAATAGCCTATAAACTAAGTACCTAGGCCTAGGCTAGCTATTCACTTTTCACTAATAAATCCTAGAAATATTGGACCCAGTCTTTGGGGATAAGTAATCTAAACCAAAATATTTTGAGCTTTAAAAAATCAAAATAGTTCTAACTAAGGCTGCCTTACCTGTGGTTTATCACTTTCACTCAGTAACTTATAACCATCTCTTAAGTTAAAACATGATTTTTAAACAACCTAGGCCCCTAACCTACGTTCATTATTATTAGGCCTATTTTATATTTCAGAAAATTATTAAAGTGTTTGCTATATGCTTATCTTATCTGATGTTAAAAGTTAATAGAAAATAAAAGAATTCAATAAAACAAAGTGAACAACATAACATTAAACCAGAGTAGTCATGTAGTCATGTATGCAGTGTGTGGTGCGACCATTCGGATTCGATTCGACCATTGATTGATTGAGATTGAACATTGATTGGTTGATTCTGATTGAAGTCGCGTCTCGCGTCCGCGTCGCAAAGTATTGAAATGAAATTTAACATATGACAAATTATACAGTACAGACAGTAACCAGTAACCATTATCTTTTAATTCCACGGTTTAAGACCGTCGTGAAGTTAGCGGCTCTTTTCATCGGCGCTTTTTCGGTTTGTAATAGATGTGGGTTGGTACGCCTGCGGACGCCACAAACGTGTTTTGCAGGGATGTCGGAAACCCAAATCAATGAAAATACGATGCGAAATGATGTTTTTATATTTATATAATGTCAATAATACATTGATAAAACGTGTATACAAGTTAAAACTAATTAATTGACGTATTTTAAAAGGCATATTTGAGACCGTACTGTACATTATACGTAGCTAAGGCTTAACATAACGCGAACAATTAAAACTCCGAACATAAAAAGTGCATAATCTTTTTTCCCAAGCCCATCACATCAACTTTGAGCAATTCTAATGGTAATACACAATGTGTAGAATACTCAGTATACATATGATTGCGGCAGTCCAGTGAATTACGAAGTTATATGGCAAAATGTATATGGTTGATAGGAACTCGCATCAGGAAAAGTGCACAATCTTTTTCCTAAGCCCATCACATCAACTTTGAGGTATTCTAATGGTAATGTACAATATGTAGAATACTCAGTATAAATATGATTGAGGCAGTCCAGTAAATTACGAAGTTATATGGCAAAATGTATATGGTTGATAGGAACTCGCATCAGGAAAAGTGCACATTCTTTTTCCTGAGCCCATCACATCAACTTTGAGGTATTCTAATGGTAATATACAATGTTTAGAATAATCAGTATGAGTATTATTGCGGCAGTCCAGTAAATTACGAAGTTATATGGCAAAATGTATATGGTTGATAGGAACTCGCATCAGGAAAAGTGCACAATCTTTTTCCTAAGCCCATCACATCAACTTTGAGGCATTCTAATGCTAATATACAATGTGTAGAATACTCAGTATAAATATGATTGAGGCAGTCCAGTGAATTACGAAGCTATAAGGCAAAATCTATATGGTTGATAGGAATTTGCGTCAGGAAAAGTGCACAATCTTTTTCCTAAGTCCATCACATCAACTTTGAGGTATTCTAATGGTAATATACAATGTGTAGAATAGTCAGTATAAATATGATTGAGGCAGACCAGTAAATTACGAAGTTATCTGGCAAAATGTATATGGTTGACCTAACTATTCAATAATCATGCTCTAACCACACGATCACCGGCGATAGGATAGATTGCGTCAGGAAAAGTGCACAATCTTTTTCCTAAGTCCATCACATCAACTTTGAGGTATTCTAATGGTAATATACAATGTGTAGAATAGTCAGTATAAATATGATTGAGGCAGACCAGTAAATTACGAAGTTATCTGGCAAAATGTATATGGTTGACCTAACTATTCAATAATCATGCTCTAACCACACGATCACCGGCGATAGGATAGATGAATACCCATACATCTATCCTCTCGCCTGTGATCGTGTGGTTCATTGAGGTAAGTGAGTTTACTTTACTCAAGGAAGCCTTAAATGTCTAATGGTAGTCCATCATAATATTATTATGGTATAACGTCTTATTCGTCTGTTGTTTATAACATATTACCATAAACTAACAAACTTAGCGTAGGGAAAAAAGATTTAATTCAACCAAGGTCAGGGGCTTCATAAGGAAGTGTTGAAATTGAAAACGGCGCCACGCCCGGCTTGGAATTTCTCCCCGAGACTACAAAAAAAGTATGAAATACATGGGCTGACGGGGCCGTCTCACAGCTTTGATCTAGCGCTGACCGACATGGTTTCGCTCCCGTCCCTACTTTCTCTCCCTATAGTGTCACCGTGCGAACACCTGTTAACAACCAACCCTTAAGGAAAACCCGAGACAGCGGCATCTCTTTGACGTTCGTTGACCTTCGTAGCTGCTAGCCAAGAATTTACAACCCCAGACATATTTCGGCGTTTTCCAAAGACGACCTCCTTAGCTCTCAGTCCATCAGAAGAGGTCGGTAACAAGGTTATAAATATAAATTCACATTGATTTATTCGTCATTACAGTTTTTGCAATCATGACAAAATAATAGAATATTTGTCGGTTTTCCCAATTTGAATACATTTGTCCAGTCTCTGTACGATCAAACTCGTATTTAACTGTAATCAAATAAAAACAAAACTAATTCATTTATTTAAATTCAATCAAGTCGTTTTATTTAGGTTAGTGAACACCAACATCACTTCGTATATAAACCACGTTTAGGGCTCAGGATTCAGAATAGTAACTAATATATAAACTAACTTAAAAGGTTTTGACGAAAACAATGCCAACGTAACTTTTGCCGGTAGCAATAGGCTGCGTTTGGAAATATTGATATATATGGAATAAGTTACTGAAATATAATTCAATGAACTATGTGTAAACTTCAATATTGATACTACTGTATATGAAAAATCAAAATCAAGTAGTTGATCAAGAATTGAACTTATCTCAAAGTAGTTCAATACATCATAAACAACACGGTGACTGACCAATTTTATGTTTAATTTTTATTTTAATATCTTTTATTGGTAAGGACATATTTTGTATCCCATATCACTGGAAACGGGATACAAAATATATCCTTACCAATCATTACAAGCAATACATGCTTTTAAGGCGACAACATACGGTTCAATAACGAAATTGTTGTCTACCATTTTTGGGTGAAGGTTGAATGCTGCGATAGCACCCTAGCCAACGTTAGTGATCAATTCAGTGATTCAGTCACACACAATGGAACATTAGAACAAGAACACAACAGATCGCTCTGAAACGACCGTTGGATAATATTTTTAAATATTGCCATTGCCACTGACTGACTGATCTGGGCCGCGCTCTACTGGTTCATGTTTGAACTACTGTACGTCCACGTGGCTCGTGGCGGTTGGCATGGCAACATACCTACACAGCCATACAGTCACAGTCACACACACAACGAGAAACTCGCAATCAGCCTGGACCCGGCTTCCTGTTCCTACCAAAATTCCGATATAACTCAGTTTTCTAGATACTTACTACGCCTTGTTAATGTTAACTAGTGTATCTGTTTCTTGAATTCGAGCAATTGCTAAGTATTACAGCACAGGCGTTATTTTAAAACAAATAATAGTTATAATTTATGACTTTAAAAAAAGATTCGACTTAAAGATTATGTAAATACTCAAGATGTACAAAACAGATCAATATAATCAACATTTCTTTTATATATCTTATAATTTTTTAAAAGCTGATCTTGTTTTTTAGTGTTTTCTACAAATAGCCTTACTTATAGCCGCATTAGGTCGTCCAAAACATAGATAAAACATACTCCCTTAGTTAGTTGGTTAGTCTATGTCCAAAATAACGATTATAAATTCAAAACAAAAAAATATTTCTATTTCTTCTCCTTGGTGGTGATCTATGACTTTCCTATGTTTCCATAGTTTGCAAATCGGCTCTTTCAATGATAACTTAGAAATGCAGCATAGTGTTGATTCAGTTTTCTTTTTAGTATATCAAATTATCCAGGCCCTATCGCTTTTGACCATTTTAATATTTACGCCAACCCAAATTCGAATACTTAGTAAATATTTAATTTTAACCAAGTAAGTAAACGTTTGTAGCAAACTGTCAAATTAGCAAACCTATTGACTGTTTACAATTAACATTATTATGTTCTTCTTCTCACTTTTGATATCTGACAACAGCTGGAGTTTCATAACAATGTTTGTTTCCCATGTTAATCTTATGGAGGAATACGAAACTTTAAAGGACCTCAGGGCCTCACTATCTAATTATTTCCCTAAAAAGAAAGTTTCCTGCACAACTTCACGTTGCGCTCTTTCCAATAACACCAAAAATATTTACAACTTAATTTGTAAAAAAAACGGAAACCCTAAAAAAATTATGTTCATCAAGCAATGTTCAGGGTTTGCTTAAAAAAACACAGGACAGTGATACGTTCATGATATTATCAAGTAAAAAATAGATGATTTTCAACTTACATCAGAGCAGTAGAAAATGTGAATTTATTAAAATATCACGAATTTTAAGTCACTACGTGACGCTGGCTACTACAATATAATAATGTAGTTGTAATAATCTATATATTTTAATGCGAAATTCCGATCAACGCACAGGCCAAACCACAGCACCTACAAGTATGAGATTTTGCATACATATTCCTCTCATAGCGTAGGCAGAAAATAAGAAGCGATTTTGCCAAATGCCCAATGGGCCTCGCCCCACAGAAGGTCAAAGTTAGCATGGAGTTCGTATAGGAAGAAAAATTTGTTTTGGACAACGTTTTGTTTACATTTGTCTGCAATTTATTTAATCGTCAGCTGTCACAGTAAAAATTAAGTTTTTTAAGGTTATTTCGTACCATACACATAAACATCATACTTGTGTGTCAGTGAAATTAACCTAATTTATTGTGGAATTTTAGTTTTATCCACTTCTAATAGCTGTGAATAGTGTTAAAGAAAGTAAAATTTAACTTAGTTGTTTATTGCATATTAATTTTTTATTTCTTATTATTTAGTACTGTTAATATTTTTGTAGTTGTCTAAACCGTTTCATAGTATGGACAAAGGACACTGAGATGTAATTCACCTTAATGTAATTCCAGGGAATACTTCAATGAAATGTCTAAACCGTTTACCTTTGGTGGGTTGTGTGAACTGGTTGCGGCTTCACAATTATTCATATTTGTTTTAGAGGTTTATCGGAATGGTGGATTGTATATAAAGTTTGGTGATGAACTTAATCCCGTGATAAGACTTGGATTCCCCTATTCCCCCCTGTCTACCG